GTGGAGGGTTGACTAAAGAGGGGAAGGCCCTCAATGAGATGGACTGACACAGTGGCTGCAGCGATGGGCTCGAGTACACCAAGGATCATAGAGTTGGCAAGGGACCAGGCCATGTTTCATTCTGCTGTGCACAGGGTTGCTATGAGTCAGAGACAACTCGATGGCACCTAACAACAACAACAGTCCCACTTCTAAAAGGTCTATCTTTTTTTTTTTTTTTTTTAATTTTTATTGTGATTTGGAAGTTTATAGAGCACATTGGTTTTCCACTCAACAATTCAAACACATTTTGTTTCATGATATTGATTGTAATCCTCACAATGTAACAGCACTCTTCCCACTTCCTCCCTGTGTTTACCATTTCCACTTGTCCTTCTTTCCTATCCCTTCCTGCCTTCTGAGCTTTATCTCTGGGCAAATGCTGCCCTTTTGATCTCATATGATTGACTGTTCTACACATACCTCCCTGGTGTTACTGTTCACCTCATAGGCCTGTCTACTATTTGACTGACAGATGACCCACGGGGTTGAGTTCAATTTTAGATTTGAAGAGTATCTAAGGGCCATAGTCTTGGGGGTTCCACCAGTCTTTATCAAACTCTCAACGATTCCAGGATATACATTTATTCATAGTTTAACAACTCTGAAACTGAAATGCCTCTGATACTTCATTTTTGTTGTTGTTGTTGTTATGTGCCGTCAAGTCAAACCCGACTCATAGCGACTCCTCCTTGGGTTTCCGAGGCAGTATCACTACGGAAGTAGGACTGCCCAACCTTCCTTCCAAGGAGTGGCTGGTGGGTTTGAACCGCCAGCCGTCTGGTTAGCAGGCAAGTCTCTTAGCCACTATGCTACCAGAGCTCCCATTGATACTTCATAGTATCTTATAATCATTGTCACCAGGTAGCAGTTGTGAAGTGATTACCTTTCATTTTACTGAAATTAGAAGAGTGCTGGTGGTGCAATGGTTAAACACTTAGCCTCTAACCAAAAGGTTAGTGGTGGGAACTCACCCACAGCAGCTCCATAGGAGAAAGATCTGGTGATCTGCTCCCATGAAAGTTACAGCCTAGGAAACCCCATGGGACAGTTTTAATCTGTCACATGGTCCACTATGAGTTGAAGTCGACTCAACAGCACTTAACAACAGGAAGATTAAGGGGGCCATTGGTGGTTCAGTGGTGGATTCTTGCCTTCCATGTAAAAGACAAGACCTAAGATAGATTCCTGACAATGTACCTCATAAGCAGCCACCAGCCATCAGTGGAAGCTCTGCATGTTGCTATGACATTGAACAGATTTCAGTAGAGAAAGAATAGGGAGAAATGTTTAGTAATCTACTTATGAAAATTGGTCAAGAAAAATTCTTTGGATCATAGAAGTCCAATTTGTAACCAATCACGGAGATAGTGCAGTAATGGGCACCATTTAGTTCTGTTGTATATGGGGTTTGTCATAAGTTAGGACCTGACTCAATAGCACCTAACAACAACACTAAGATCAAGAAAGCACATGCTAGAGGTATTTTAGAATACATGAAATACAGTTATTAAAAAGCACTAAAAGAATGTTAATAGCTGATGAATAAATGCTGAATTAAATCCACTTAGAAAAAAGCTATTTATATTTGAAATTTAAGTGATAACTTGTAATAATGCAACATGATGTTAAAGGTTACAAACATGACTGAAAGCACTGTTCCCTGGACACAAGTAGAAAGTATAAGCAATGTCTTCAAATCCCAACAGTGAAATGGAGAATTTCTTAGCCATCATATGAAAAACAAAGAAATTAATCTAATCAATAGAACTTTAAAAGGCTCACAATCACTGCTAGTATCACAAATTTAAGTTAGCTATATATATCCACTGCCACTGAATTGATTCTAACTCATAGCAACTCTATAGTACAGAGTAGAAATGCCACATAGGGTTTCCAAGGCTATAAATCTTTTATGAAAGCACACAGCCTCATCTTTCTCCCAAAGAGTGGCAGGTGCATTTGAACCACCAGCTTTTCAGTTAGCAGCTGAATGCTTTTACCACTGGTCCATCAGAACTCCTTAGTTATATACAGGAATGGTAATTTATTTCCTATAACAAATGTTCACAGAAAGTTTGATAGGTCTTTTAGAGGTATGAATAGTCACTGTTCATACAGATAGATGCTAGAAAAGGAAGAGAATAAACATTTAAAGATCCATATGCCTCTAAATTACTACACACACCCACTTCAGGAAGTTAGCCAATATACTATTTTGTGTTCCCTCTCCCTCCAACCTACCTGCCTAATAACTAGCTTTTCCTAAATCAGATATTTCTTCTATGGTGTGCAGCATATGCATAGTTCACTTTTTAAATACTGTTCTTTCACATTCATGTGCCTATTATTCCTTACTATATATTATATCCTACCTTTATTTGAGTGTGTTTTAATATGTATCATAATTTAAAGGTCCGTTATGCACAAGATAATTAATGCTTTGAGAACACAAACTCCTACTTTTAAAACAGAGTATTTCTTTAAATCTGTTGTTATCTTTCAAAAAATTATTTTTTTTCAAATCGTATACA